CCAAGCTTAGAATTGAACACTTGGGGACATATCATTATCAACGCTGATGACTGGAACCCTTGATTTTTCCACACGCAAATAGTTTGTTTGATTAAAGTAAGGAGATAAGTAGATATAGGAAATACATATCGTGTAGGGCTATTTGAAGTTAGTCCAATATTCAAGTTTCCTTTAAGGAGTTCCTTATAGATGAACATTTAAAATTCAATGCCATTTGTAATTGTCTGTCTGTGATTCCCTCCAAAGTTTCTCTCTTCCTTTCTCTCTTTGAAGTGGGGGGAGGGAGTGAAAATAACCCTTCATTTTCTGAGTATCTTTGTAGTGCATTTTTATATTAGAATTTAACTTTCATCACATATAGGCACTCTTCCTTCCACTGTTTTAATACTAAATCTGACAGATTATTTAATTTTGAGTTCATCAAAGTGAAGAGATGCTTACATTTTATAATTATTTACCTTACTATAGGGGGAAAGGTGCTTTTTATTTATACTCCTCCACCTCCCTCTTCTCTCAGACTACATCCTCCGTAAAATGTGGTATGTTTCGTGCCCATGTGGAATGAAACAGCCTTTGATCAGTGTGCTCCGTACTAAATTCCAATCCCTGGGAAATGCTGGGCCTTAGCCCTGCCCCTGGCCACGGGATCCTTTTAAAGCCCCAGAATCGCAATCTTGCCGCTCACTTGAACCTTCAAACCTTTCCAGTCCCAAAGCCCCAGAAGCTGGGAATGCGCGATCCAGTTCCCAAGGCCTCTTACATGCCATTCAGCAGCATTCAGGGTGGGTAAGGGCTGGGTTCTGCATACTGACATTTCAGGACTCAGATCCTTACAAAATAAAAGCATTTGAGAAATAGGAAGGATTTTTTTTTAAACCCGGAAAGAAATAGACTCCCACTTATTTTCCCTCCAATGTCAACAAGCAAAATGAAAATATTTCCAGGGTGCTCACTCGCGGCTACCAGCTTCCAGTTCTGATTAGAAGCTGAAGAGAAGCTGGAGCGGCGAGGAGAAAGCGACAGCGAGTCACCCCGCGCGTGAGGGAAGGTCTGGAGTAAGAGAGAAGGTGAAAGAAGAGACACACGTACAGAGCATGTGTTACCTGATTTATTTCAAGACTGTTTGGTACTGTGTTCTCTCTGGGCACCTCTCATTTCGGAAGGCCATCAGAGGCGCCCACCACTGAGCAGCCCCTGCCCGCCGCCACAGCACCCGGAGCCCCCAGGCCCGGCTTCCCCGCGGCACCGAAGCCCCGAGCTCGCCGCTGCTCGGGCCGCAGGAAACGAGTAAGTAACCCCGGTTTGGCCTCGCGCTCGCCGGCCCAATTCCTCCTCCCTATCCCACCACTCCCAAACCTGTCCCCTGCCCTCCTCCCACAACGTGTAGGACATCCTTCCATCCACAAGGGTGGGCCTTCACCCCACCCCACCCCACCCCCATATCCAAAGCTTCGGCAGAATATTACCTAAAAGGGGCACAATTTTCCTACGGGCTCAGAAATGCCAGACCCAGGCCTGCAGGGCCGACTCGGAAAAAGTAGTGCCTCGCTTCTTCCTCCTCCATTTCCAGCCCTCTCCTAGCATCCTCTCCCTGCGCTCCCACTCTTCCCTCCACCGTCACCACCCCCACGTTTAAAAATAAAATTGGATACAAACTTTAATCAATAAGGACAAATATTGACGCTCAAACGAAAATGACCCAATACAAGGAGAAGGAAGCCGGAAATGTGAGATATTTGCCCTAGGAGAGGGATTTCGGTTGATCAGAGCCGGCGGGGTGGAGGGGGTGGAGGGGGCGCGGAGCGGGGCTGCGGCACAGCGTGCTCCCGCCGGCGTATCCCTACGCGGCTCCGCACGGCCGCAAGGTCCGAGGCCCGTAGAGAGGGGGAGGCGAGCGCCCGAGGGGGCGGGAGCCGGCGGGCGGGGCGGGGGTGGGTGGACCCGGCCCCGCCGATTGGTCGGCTGTGAGAGAGACGCTCCTGCACGCCGTCGGCTCTGATTGGCCCAGCGGTAGGAAAGGTTAAACCAAAAATTTTTTTACAGCCCTAGTGTGCGCCTGTAGCTCGGAAAATTAATTGTGGCTATAGCCGCCTCGATCGCTGTCTCCCCAGCCTCGCCGCGGCCGCTCCGGGACGCGCCCGCCCGCCGCCCGGCTCTCCCCCCCTTTGGGCTGCTGCTGCTGCTGCTGTGACTGCTGCTGCGAGAGGAGGAGGAGGAGGAGGAAGCAGCAGGGGGGGGGAGCGGGGGGTGGGGGGGAGACCGAGAAGTAGAGTTGGGAGCTAGGGAGCTTCACCCCCGGGGCGGTGGTTGTTTCTTTTTTCTCTTTCTTTTTTTCTTTCCCCCCCGTTTTTTTTTTTTTTTCCTAATTCCTGAGGGGTGGTTGCTGCTTTTGCTACATGACTTGCCAGCGCCCGAGCCTGCGGTCCAACTGCGCTGCTGCCGGAGCGCTCAGTGCCGCCGCTGCCGCCCGCGCCCCCCGCGCTCCGCTCGGCACCCACCGGTCACCGCCGCCCGCCGCGCCGCTGCTCGGCTCCCGCGCCGCCACCGCCGCCGCCGTTTCCCCTCGACGACTGGGTGATGCTGGACATGGGAGATAGGAAAGAGGTGAAAATGATCCCCAAGTCCTCGTTCAGCATCAACAGCCTGGTCCCCGAGGCGGTCCAGAACGACAACCACCACGCGAGCCACGGCCACCACAACAGCCACCACCCCCAGCACCACCATCACCACCACCACCATCACCACCACCCGCCGCCGCCCGCCCCGCAACCGCCGCCGCCACCCCAGCAGCAGCAGCCGCCACCGCCACCCCCGGCACCGCAGCCCCCCCAGGCGCGGGGCGCCCCGACCGCCGCAGACGACGACAAGGGCCCCCAACAGCTGTTGCTCCCGCCGCCGCCGCCGCCGCCGGCCGCCGCCCTGGACGGGGCCAAAGCGGACGGGTTGGGCGGCAAGGGCGAGCCGGGCGGCGGGCCGGGGGAGCTGGCGCCCGTCGGGCCGGACGAGAAGGAGAAGGGCGCCGGCGCTGGGGGGGAGGAGAAGAAGGGGGCGGGCGAGGGCGGCAAGGACGGGGAGGGGGGCAAGGAGGGTGAGAAGAAGAACGGCAAGTACGAGAAGCCACCGTTCAGCTACAACGCGCTGATCATGATGGCCATCCGGCAGAGCCCGGAGAAGCGGCTCACGCTCAATGGCATCTACGAGTTCATCATGAAGAACTTCCCCTACTACCGCGAGAACAAGCAGGGCTGGCAGAACTCCATCCGCCACAACCTGTCCCTCAACAAGTGCTTCGTGAAGGTGCCGCGCCACTACGACGACCCGGGCAAGGGCAACTACTGGATGCTGGACCCGTCCAGCGACGACGTGTTCATTGGCGGCACCACGGGCAAGCTGCGGCGCCGCTCCACCACGTCGCGGGCCAAGCTGGCCTTCAAACGCGGGGCGCGCCTCACCTCCACGGGCCTCACCTTCATGGACCGCGCCGGCTCCCTCTACTGGCCCATGTCGCCCTTCCTGTCTCTGCACCACCCCCGCGCCAGCAGCACTTTGAGTTACAATGGCACCACGTCTGCCTACCCCAGCCACCCCATGCCCTACAGCTCCGTGTTGACTCAGAACTCGCTGGGCAACAACCACTCCTTCTCCACGGCCAACGGCCTGAGTGTGGACCGGCTGGTCAACGGGGAGATCCCGTACGCCACGCACCACCTCACGGCTGCCGCGCTCGCCGCCTCGGTGCCCTGTGGCCTGTCGGTGCCCTGCTCCGGGACCTACTCCCTCAACCCCTGCTCCGTCAACCTGCTTGCGGGCCAGACCAGTTACTTTTTCCCCCACGTCCCGCACCCGTCAATGACTTCGCAGAGCAGCACGTCCATGAGCGCCAGGGCTGCGTCTTCCTCCACGTCGCCGCAGGCCCCCTCGACCCTGCCCTGTGAGTCTTTAAGACCCTCTTTGCCAAGTTTTACGACGGGACTGTCCGGGGGACTGTCTGATTATTTCACACATCAAAATCAGGGGTCTTCTTCCAACCCTTTAATACATTAACATCCCTGGGACCAGACTGTAAGTGAACGTTTTACACACATTTGCATTGTAAATGATGATTAAAAATAAGTCCAGGTATTTTTTATTAAGCCCCCCCCCTCATTTCTGTACGTTTGTTCAGTCTCTAGGGTTGTTTATTATTCTAACAAGGTGTGGAGTGTCAGCGAGGTGCAATGTGGGGAGAATACATTGTAGAATATAAGGTTTGGAAGTCAAAATTATAGTAGAATATGTATCTAAATAGTGACTGCTTTGCCATTTCACTCAAACCTGACAAGTCTATCTCTTAAGAGCCGCCAGATTTCCATGTGTGCAGTATTATAAGTTATCATGGATTTATCTGGTCGACGCAGACCTTGAGAACAACCTAAATTATGGGGAGAGTTTTAAAATGTTAAACTGTAATTTGTATTTAAGAAGCATTCGTAGTAAAGGTGCCCAAGAAAATTATTTTGGCCATTTATTGTTTTGTCCTTTTCGTTAAAGAACTGTTTTTTTCTTTTGTTTACTTTTAGACCAAAGATTGGATTCTAGAAAATGCACTTGGTATACTAAGTATTAAAACAAACAAACAAAAAAGGAAAGTTGTTTCAGTTGGCAACACTGCCCATTCAATTGAATCGGAAGGGGACAAAATTAATGATTGCCTTCAGTTTGTGTTGTGTATATTTTGATGTATGTGGTCACTAACAGGTCACTTTTATTTTTTCTAAATGTAGTGAAATGTTAATACCTATTGTACTTATAGGTAAACCTTGCAAATATGTAACCTGTGTTGCGCAAATGCCGCATAAATTTGAGTGATTGTTAATGTTGTCTTAAAATTTCTTGATTGTGATACTGTGGTCATATGCCCGTGTTTGTCACTTACAAAAATGTTTACTATGAACACACAGAAATAAAAAATAGGCTAAATTCATATATATCTTGATACTTTTGTCTCTTTATTAAGTAGAGCTAATTTTTGAAAGACCACTCAATTTATAGGGAATTCAAAGGCTTTTTCAGCCAAATTAAAATTTAAACTGCTCCTTTAATTTGAACTGAGAGTCTAAAAACGAAAATAGTATTTTTCCCCCTTGTGGGCAAATTTTACCCGGAGCAGGCTATTAAATAAACACTAGCTTTAAACAAAGTATAGGCTTTTCAGCTAATATCTTTAAGTTTTTGTGGATATACAGCAAAAAGAGATATTTAATTTTATGTGCATAGCTGTTTACTCTGTGTTTATTTTAAAACAGTTAATAGAATGCTTTTTATATATTTTGTTTCAGGTATCTTGTTTATAGCACTTGGCAAATTATAAATAAATATATGTATATGGTTAGATAGAAGTGAATAATGAACACATATGTAATATATATAGACACACAGAGCCCTTCAGTTCAGGTACAATTTGCGCTATGAATGCTGCAAACATTTTTGTTTAAATATTTGTATTTATACTTTCTAAGTCAGCATTTATTTTTGTGGCTGTTTACCCACAATGAAAGAGTTCTAATAAAGATGTGCTGAAGTTGCAATAGATTTTGCTGAAGTGATCACCTGTTGTAATGACTTGCAGATCAATGTTGATATTTTAATTTTAAATTATAACAATTTAAAATTCTAGATATTCAGAAGTAAAACCTCTCTTCTTTTCCCCCTATTTTTACAACATGGAGGTATTTATTTGATTCTCTTTTAAATGTCTGTATAATTTAATCTAGAGATTTGTTCCTTTTGCTTACACTGAATCATAATTTTGTTTTAACTTGCAATATGCATATGTTATGCATATATGCATATATATGAAACAAAATGAAAACATTTTAAAAATTGTTTCAGGAAGCCCAATTGCTATAATTCAAAAAAAAAAAAATTAGAAAACCTGAGTAAAAGTTTCAGTAACTAATTGGATCCTGTGGAGAGTCTATGGAGGACAAGTTGTTCATTTGTTATAGTTGTATAGTCTGAAATGTGTTCTTCAGTAATGCAATAAGCTGGCTGCTTCTTACAATGGGTCCAATGAAAAATAATCTGTCCCTAAGATGTTATCAGCAAACAGAGAGTTGCTCTGAGGGAAAAAAAAGAAAAAAGCTTTGGGGACAAGCAAATTGACTGAAGTGGATTTGAAATGTAGAATAGTTAATATTGGAAAATTTGAGTGTGGGTTGTGGAATGAGGTGGGGGAAGAGCAAAGGAGCAAGCTCGAGGTGCCAGGAAAATTTAAAAAGAGCTGGAACCAAATATACAAAAATGGGGAATGGGCAAAAAATAGACCAACTAGTTTAATTATCTCTTTTAAGCAGACTGAATATGATTTTATTTTCTTAGCATGAAAACAGATTCACTTGAGATCTGTTTCCTGAAATTTAACAGTTCTTCAGAATGAAGCAGAAAAGAAAATTTCACAAATTATTGTTTTAAAAGCCAAATTTATGACTGATTAAAAAGAGTACAAATGCTGATCTTAGGCAAAGGAAATCCCCATTACACAATTGGGAACCAAAATAGCTCCAAGAAAGGCATGTGTTTAAGCTGGAAAAAAGGTGATGATTTATTGTTTGCTTTTGCCATGGATTTTATTTGTGGAATGAGAATGTGCTACCAGAGAGGAAATACAGTATTTTGCCTTCCAAAGTTAAAAGAAGTCAAACTCTTGTACTGAGATAAAGAGATATAGGAGATTTTCTCCATGGGTATTTTTCTTCTGGTCAAATTAAATACCTATACTTATTTGTGATTATGTGTTTATTTGGATGATAGAAATTGAATTTCAATGGCAAACTTAGTATTCTGAAGTCAAGGGTAAAATTCATTTCTTTGCATTCCTAAAACTAAGTACTGAAGTAGAAGTTGTGTTTGGACACATGTCCAAATTATATATACAATGGATATGATTAGAAATGTGGTTATTAGACATTCTAGAAGGGGGGTATCCAGAGGAAAAAAGTGAAGGCCTCCTGAAGCCTAATGTGAACATTTCATTTACCTTGATTATCCTATCATTCCTCAAGGTATCTTCTAAAACAAACAAACAAACAAAACTCACACATGACAGTCTGGCATGGCATTTATACATTTTTGCATAATGTGTTGTTTGTCACCAATTTTTGGCAGTTGAAATTAACTCATGCCAGAAAAATACTTCAAAACTTTTTGAAGATTATTTTCTTTCAAACTTGTGATTAGTTTTAATGTAATAGCAATTGTCTTTTTTTTTTTTTTTTTGAGATTTTCAAACTGAAAATGACCACAGCTTAAAACTTGAAATCTCCAAATATAGTTCATTTAGGTTTAAAGTGTTTTACTTGAATTTATCTGGTATAAAGTTAACAAAAAACTATTAATATATAAAACACTGAGAGAGTAATGTAAACTGGAGCAGTGAAGGAATTTTTCCAACTATGTTTCTTCCTAATATGTTATAAAATTGGGCATCGAATGAACATAAAGTCTAGAACTAACAGTACTTAACACAAGTATTCATGTGATGATGGAAGCCTTCATGTGGTTTCTGAGGGGCATCAAATCAAGGCAGAGAGGCAAAAAATGTGTTTTGCAGTGTATTGATTTTAATATATATTTGTTACATACTTCACTCAAATAGGTGGATAAATTCATATATTTAGAACTCTAAAGCGTGGTATGAAGTGTGTTTTCTACATCATTGTTGAGGAATTTGCATGCATTGAAATAATTTGCTTTTGAGAAATTAGTTTTATGATTAGTTAAAGTTGTGTTTGAGACTAAAATCCTGTTGCAGAATTAGGCTAACAAAGGGTGAAGGTGAAGATCATTAGAGGTTTTAAAGCTGGCTGAGAGGGGTTGCTGGGGTTGTGTAACTGTGCCTAGAGGGCGGGGTTCCTGTACATTCCTACTTCACCAGATAACCTGCCCCCAACACCACTTCAGCTTCTGCCAGACAGATGGAACTCTCCAACATGAAAATCTGTGCATCCAATCCAACAAGCACGGTAGGTGAAATTTGAATTAAAGTTGCCCCCTTTTATGTTTTTATTCGAGGCCAGATCCTGGAGATGTGGAAAGAATAGGGTCATCTAGATTCTCTCTTTCACGCACACACATCTACATTCTTCCTAAGAGCTACCTACCTGTAAGAGTTAAAAGGCGCTAAAGATCTTTCAATTAGTACTTCGTTCTCAATGTTCATTTGTGCCCTTAAGAGAGAAAGAAAGAAAGAAAGAAAAAGCTTTCTTTTCTTCATCCCAATCATCGTTTCCAACCCTCCTTCCAGGACCCCTCACTCCCCACTCCCAACCACCAGTAGTTTAAAAAAAAAAAAAAAACACCTCTTACTTTTTGTCCCCCAAACTGACACTTTTCCTCTTGTCCTGAGGATGTAGGCCAAGAGGCTTCAGGACTGACAAATATAAAATGTAGTGTTGTGTTTTGTCTCTTTTCTCCCTCCCGATTTCTCTTTGTTTTTTTCCCTCCACCCAAGGCTCTGCCTGAGGTTGTCTGAAGGATGCCGCGGGAAAAGACCAAAGAATTGGGAGAGCTCTTACCCCAAGATCGGTAAGTGAAAGTGCCTTTCCGAGGGTACTGGGTGAGGTGGGGAGTGTGTCGACTGCTTTTGACAGTTTTGAACCGCGACTTTTTGGGTTCCTGGGTTTGTGTCTCTCTTTTCTTGGAAAGTGTTCCTAGCGAGTGGGCTACCAACAGACGTAGATGAAAGAAATGTGTGATTTTTCTACTTTGACAGAAATCATGGTACATCCTTAAGGGCAAAGGGAAATAGAAAACAAGACAAATCTATATGGACAAGGTGGTGGGAGAGTGAAATAGACCCGAAAGTGTAATGTAATTCATTTTATGGAAATTTCTGAGTCTTACGGGTGTTGCGAGAAATACGGGACTTTTTTAACGTTCAAATTTTGGATTATTTGCTCTCCCGGTTTAAGATAAATCTCTTTGCTCCAAAGTCAAGAACTTACCTCTCTGAAGTTCCTTCTTTCTTTCTTCTTCCTTTTGATCATCATCATCATCTTCTTTTTTTTTTTTTTTTTTTTAAATAAACATTTCATTCCCCCTATTTCAGACTAACACTTCCAATATCCCCCAGAGCTGGCCCTACATCTCCAAGTCTTTGGCCTGGGTCGGGCGAGAGTCCCTACGAGATTTAGCCGGCCTGCTCCAAGTCGAGTGCGGCGCCTGACGGGTGTGGGAGACTTCCCTGGCTCTTGGAAAGACTAGGGAAATGAGCACCACCGTTCTGGGCTTGTCTTCGTCCCTGCTGGGAATATCTCAGTTCCCGGCTTTGGAAATCTCAGGCAAATAATTGATTCTTAATGCGCACTTAGGAGAAAGCGATGTATGCTCGAGAGCCTGGCTGTCCCAGAGTGTCTGCGGGCTCGCGCCAGACGCAGGTTGGCTCCGCCCGGAGAGAATTTGGGGGCTTTGCTGTGATGTCCTATTGGCTTTTCCCACGCCTCAGGGATTCCTGGGTGAAGTTGCAGAGGTGACACCATAGAGGGGCTCGAAGTCGTAGGGCAGGAGCCCGGCGGCTTGTTTTCTCGTGCCCCCACCCCTCCCCTACAAATGTAGAGAAGAAACAGGCTACTGAGCTGGGGCCGCGACGCCGGCGCGGCAGCTGGGTGAGGACAGGCGATCCCGGGACCCTGCCGCACTGATTCCCGCAGAGGGTGCAGCGGGGCGCTGCGCAGGGAGCAGCAACGCGAGGGCGCTCTTGCCCAGGATAAGTGGACTTTGAGTTGAGTAGCTCACTTTGGCTGCTGCCAGGAAAATCGACTCCTCCCGAACCTTGCTGGCGCGCATCCCTACCTTTTCCCCCTTTCTTCTTAGTCTTCTGTTTTATCTTTTCTTTCTCCCTCTGAAAGGTGTTTCTTTTTGTGTACCGGGTGCAGTTTTCAGCACTCATCTGGTAGTTGATCAAAACGTGTCCTTTACAATAAACGTCTTTTCCCTCCCTATGACTTCTCTGCCCGTTTTGCTTCTCTGCCCAAGCCTGTGGTCCAAGGTGAGGGCCCTTACAGGAAAAAACAACAACAACAACAACAACAACAACAAAAAAAACCCTCGGAGGTAGGAATTTCCTTAGCGGCAAGGGGGACCCCGGGTCGGGGAGACAAAGGCAAGGGTTCCGGTGGGCAGATTACCCCTCAAGTGCAGGAGATTCTCCAGGGTCATCTTCAGCCTTGGAAAGGCGACTGGAAGGAAAGGGCGATGCAGAATAGAGCTGGGACACCTCTGTCCTCCCTTTGGCTCCCCTCCCTCCGCTAATTTCTAAGCTTTGACACCGTACTCACCCGGTCCTCTATTGAAATTTAAGATAATCCGAAATTCTGAAATTGTGATTATAAATAATATATAACAAGTAACTATAAAAATTATATTTGTGAAGGTCTTTTTCGTGGTGTGTTGCCTAATACATATGATCTTTTTCCCTTACGGAAAAGCCATATAGGAGGAAAGGGCACTTTGCAAGGTTTGAGATCCTTGTCAGAATGAAAGGGCATGCTCAAATACCGGGCATGTTCGGATGTTTATAATCTGTTTCAGTTGGCTTTTCCTACACTGCTAGCACTTACCGGATTGGAATCATTGTCTTCAGTTTTATTCCTTCAATTCATCTCCTATTATCCAACTCTTTGAGTCAGTGTGTTTAAGGAACGTTTAAGGAGTATCTTCCTGCATAGGTGTTTTTGATTCCGTTGATTGAGCAGGAAGATTAAAAACTGTAATGGGGTTAAGGGAGAGTTGTCTCTCAGTTCTTTCATTTTCTCATTCCTCTGAAATTTAATGACCTGATCATTGTTGTTTGAAGTTAAATTATCTGTTAAATTAGACCTAAACAATAACTGATGATATTTTCCTTTTGGGTCTGGTTGCCCCTGAATTCTTGGCCCTAGATGGGAAAGAGAGTAGTCAAGCAGAATGCTTGGTCATGCACTATGACAAAGATAATCAAAATCGATATTTATGTGTGGTGATATTTCGTGGAAAATCACTTTCAAAGTAGCTGAATTTCTTAAGTAGGAAATTCTTCTAAAGACTTATGCTCTAGAAGCCTAGACTCAAGGATGAATGTAAATAAGCATCTCCGTTGATGAATTAAAAAGAAATGAGAAGACTATTTTCATTCTCCAGAACCTAACTAAATACTTAAATTCATCACACACTCATGCTTGCTAATTTAAATCATTTCTGCCCTCCAGGGATAAATATTCTTGAAAGGAAAACTTAATTCTTAACAAATCTGAAACATTGTTTTAGATGCGAATTTCTAGAAATCCAATGTAGATTGATTTCTTTGAGTCAGCCACTGTTTGTTTTGCAGTCATTATATAAATCAATTTTAGAATAATGTAGGTTCCCCCTTTTATTTTATGTTTGCATATACTCAGAGATAGGTGAGAAAGCTTTTATGGTATATTGAGGAAATGACATCTTTCTCATTCATTTTGACAAAAGGCCCAAAGAATCTCTAAACCTAAAGGTACTATGGTAGTTGAAAAAAAAATCTTTTTTTTTAAATTAATGAGCACTATTGTGTATTTTTTTTCTATTACACTGTGCTGAATGAATAATTAGAGGCTGGGAGGAAGGTTGAAAATTTAGAGCAAGAATAAGGTGGTAATTTCATTATTTGATACTTTAATAATTTCTATAATTAATGATGTAGTTTTAAAGGTTGGCAAATCTTCCTTAGAAAAAAATAGAGTACTCCTCCCACCCCATCAAAAATACTCTAGAAAAGATAAAGTAGAAAGGTAGAACTAGCTGCAAGTATTGTTTATTTATTTATTTATTTCCCCAATAGTAGTAGTATTAGTGGAGTTGAAAAATACACTTTTAATTATACATTGCAAGCTCTGATTGCAGGTTGGAAGACTAAAATCGATCTTTCCTACATCAATAGTGTTGTCTATTACTACATTGATTTGTGTTTATTTATGCAGAGGCTTTCAGATATTTACTTACATATTTCTGCATCTGCCTCTTGATTATTATCCTGGGTTGCTTTTAATGAAGGTGCTTATGTGGGAAGCGAAACATACTTGACAGATCCATTTTAAGTAAACCTGATAGTGAATTATAGCAACCCAATGAGTTTACAAAATTACTTATTCATACTTGCTTTTTAGCAATTAGGAATTTGTTTCTGATTAAAATCTCTTGCAGCTTGAAAACTTCCACAATTTTCTTCACCTATTGTATTGATGATTCATCTCAATAAAATAGAAAAACATGATTTTATGATATCAGCTTTAATAGAATGAAAATCATGAGTGAGAATTGACTCATTTGGCTTACCCTCATAACAGTGAGCTGGCCATTGGGTTTACTAATGCTATAAATGAAAAAACAAGGAGCAATCATTTGAACATAGATATAAGACATTCAATTTAAAACACTGTTAACTCGAAATTATTCTAGGGATACTTAACACCAAACAAGACATTCTGGAGTTTTTGAGTCTATTAAATGTTTGTATGCATTTATATATTCTGTTACCTAGAGCACATATCTTATGAAAATAGGTATTTCTCTTCAACTAATATCTCATATGAATGTTGTTTATCAGACTCATTTGAAGAAATAGAAAAACAATCAAACAACAACAACAACAAACCCCTAAAGACCATATAGTGTGCCCTTTATAAGTACAAGGCAATTGCAGGAGAATAAGACACTTTTCATGTTTGTGCTTCTCTTATTGCCATTACAAAATATAGTCTAATTTATCTAGGATTTCACCTTCTTTAGGACTTTCTCTCCCAGCGTGAAGGATGAATCCTTGCATGCTAATAGTTTGGAATACATCTACCAACCAAATACTTTAAAAGGTCCTATTCTTCTTCTTCTTCTTCTTTTTTTTTTTTTTTTGGAGAAGGCCCTCCTCCTCCCAGTCACTGCAAGGAATATAGAAAGAGGCAATTAACCAAATTCTTTTTAAGAAGGAAAGACCTTGGAAGATGGAAAAGGAATTAAACTCCTCACCCTGTCGATTTTTCCTGAAAGTACTTATCCTCAGCGTCTGCGCTGTGAGAGGTGGTGTTGCATCTGAAGGCTACTGGCAGGTGGGCTAGTCCTGGGACCTAAAGTTTTTTCAAAGGTTGAAAGGAGGAGCTGAGGCAAAGTTTGGAGTCTGTTTATTTGCCGTATTTTATTTTTCTGTCCCGTGCCAAGCCCTTGAAGCTAAACTAGTGAAATGGGCCCTGTAGGACCAAGCATTACTGGCATTCTGTAGATATTGAGATTCCAGAGCATGGATGAACAGGTCTTATAGCTAAGGCGTGCTCACCAACCCCTCCCTCGTCTTTTTCCCCCCCTCGTACACACCAGCTCATCCTCACGTGCATTGGGGTAGTGGACAGTGTTGACTTGAATTGCTCTCCCTTGCTCCAAGCCTTTCCTGTGAATGAACCCGAAAACACTCGACAGGTCGTGAATAATCGTTTTAATGAGTGTGCAAAGCGTGCGACGGGGTGCACTGAGCTGTCGGGTTAAACAAACAACTTGTACCCTGACCAAATCCGATTGTTAAAGTGCAA